TGTTGTTGTCGTGTCGTGTGTGTCGTGTCGTGTCGTGTGTGTGTGTGTGTGTCGTCGTGTGTGTGTGTTGTTTGTGTGTGTGTGTGTGTGTGTGTGTGTGTGCGTGCGTGCGTGTGTGTGTGTGTGCGTGCTTGCATGCGTACGTGCGTTCGTGCGTGTATGTGTGTGCGCGCGCGTGTGCTGGGTGTGCGTGTGCGTGTGCTTGTACGTGTGTGTTCGTGCCTCGTGGGTACTAGCGTGAGAGAGAAAACCTGAATTGTTGGTGGATTTAGTTAGCAGGCAGGATGCTGCAAGAACTCATCGTGGCTGTAATTGATCATGAGATGTGACTATGCGTGTTCCGTATGTCGTTGACGTAGATATTATTTTTCTCATTATATCTGCATTACATTACTTCACATTTCGCGGAAATGTGAGCGAGCGAGATGTTTTTGCGACCTTTTGCTGCCGCCGCTGATGTTTCTGCTGCTAAAATCCCCACATAATAATATAATCATATCTATAATATAAATCATGAACCGTCGTTTGCATCGTGTGAATCACTGAGCAGATTCCATCGCGACGATATGTTTGCTACACCGAACCACTACAGAAGAATCTGATGTATATATAGGATCAGGTATGTCGTACACATTAATCAGCTCATGGGCTGGCGTGTAGCGTATTCCGCGGGGTAAACTAGGGTTGGACTACACATACTCAGCCACTGCACAGTACCAATAGGTAGTGACTACTCGTAGGGATGACGATGTATAATGATTCGCGCCGTATTTCGTCAAAATGCGAACTAATTCTTGTTATGTTAATTGCTCATGGCTGAATGTTGGACTTCATCGCAGAGAATGCGGGTTATTCGGTGGGGGGGGGGGAGGTCACTTTCGGCGAATACGACGTAGACATGTGCGTTCTGCTGTGGCTATACTCGTGGATATAAAGTGTGAGGGCTGTTCGCAACGACAATTATGTGGTTACAGCAATCCGTGGGGATGAGATCAGGGTTGATTATGACTACTTAATCACCCGTCTGAACTCCCGACACTGTAAAGCACTGACATACAATACACGAGCAAATCGTGCATGCGTGCGTGCGTGCGTGCGTGCGTTCGTGCGTGCGTGCGTTCGTGCGTGCGGGCGGGCGAGCGTGCGTGCGTGTGTGCATGTAACGTCAGAGCAACGAATCTTCGTAAAGCTAGATCGTTCGTTTCTCGTTGTGGGTAGAAACCTTTACTAGGTATGTGCTTATACGCCGGTCTGCTACCCCAGAACCGTCTAGCCCCCGCTGCCTACCTTCCCCCGCGACCTCCTCCCCATCCTCCTCCTCCTTCTCCTCCTTCTCCTCCTCCTCCTCCTCCTCCTCCTCATCCTCCTCCTCCGTCGCAGCTGCTGCCTCTAACCTGCTCTAACCGTGTTCCCAGCTGAAAGTCAAAAGAAATCTAAGATCTGCTCCCCCTTGGCGCTGGGGAGGATTCTACGTAGAGACAGCCCCGTGCGGCGGCATCACACGATCGCCGGGGAGCGCGGCGGCGGCAGGGGGCAGCACCACCAGCACCAGCAGCAGCATGTTAGGAGAGCAGCCACACTCATTGGAAGCCCGGACGCGGACGCTATAGGTTTGCCGTTAGATGCTAGAGATGACAGCGCAGCGCGTGTACCTACACCCCCCCCCATCCCCCCCGCCCAAGCAGCATTCTAACAATCTATTAGTCCGTAATGTAGCAGCGTTAAGACATTAGGGTGAGGCGTACAGTGTGCTAGGTGTCATTTATTAGCTTGGTGCCTGTGAAGGGCGCCGTCGCTTGATTCCATCCTGCTAGCTAACCTCGTGAACGCACCTCGGTGCGAAGACGTGGTTGCTTTCTAATAGCACAGCTGAAATAACGCTATTACCATATCAGAAGTGACCATATGTAACACATACATCGTACGCCTTATACGTACACGTGGGTGTTTTGCGAAGCTCTATACACGCGCATGCTCCTACATATAGTACGTACAGGTGCGCACACGTGAGTGTCTTTTACTAGCATATGATAATCACTTTTTTCACACCTGGGGCCGGTTTCACGAAGCGTACTTAACTTAAGTATGATTAAATCACTAATCATACTTAACTTCCCGTAATTATGATTAGTTAATCATACTCAATAATCTGTTTCACAAAGCGTTTTAAGTACATATTTAACTAATCACATAATTAGCCGACTTCAACATGAATAGACTGGTACTCGCTCACCTCTCGGCTTAGTTACTCGATGGGAATCGAGTAATCGAGGTGGGAGCGGGTACCAGTCTAAAACAAATTACACGGTATTCAATATGGCGGACCAATACGCCAAAAATATCTTCAAGTTCGGTACATGAAAAGGAATTAATTTGTAACTATAATGATTGAAGTAGTACAGCAAATCTTAGATAATTTAAAATTCCTTGGGAAAAAATTGAAGTAAAATTTCCAATTGCAAAATCTGCAGCGTACTTAATATACTAGTACTACCTACTTCTAAGTTCTAGTACTAGCAACTAATTATCATTTATGATTAGTGGATTTAAACATGCTCATGAGTAGAATTAAATATTGTGATTAACTTAATCATGATTAAAGTTAATTACGCTTCGTGAAACAGTCACTTTAATTTAAGTACGAGAAGTTAATCATGATTAGTGATTTAATCACGATTCAATACTTAAGTACGCTTTGAGAAACCGGCCCCTGTTGCATACAATACATACACCAGTGCGTACACGTGCGCGCCTACAACCTGTGCGCCTACAGGTGTGTGCTTTATAATAGCACATGTAGCAGGAAGCACCTTATACGCGCTCCGACCTCGAGCTTGCGTGCATGCGCGTGTGTGTGTGTGTGTGTTTGTGCGCGCGTGCGTGCGTACGTGTCTGCACATGTGCGTGCTTGTGCGTGTTCGTGTCTTTCTGCGCGACTGCGTATTTTTTGTGCGCGCGTGTTTGCGTGTTTTAACGTGAGTGTGCGCGTGCGTGCTGTTTGTCCGTGGGTGCGTGCGTATGCGCATATATTTATGTGCGTGCTTGCGTGAGACCGTGCTTGGAAGGTGGTTGAGTTAAGTGACCGGTCGGGAATGGGGCTAGGGTTCGTATACGCTATAGCACTATAGTACGGCGTGAGAACTTGTTTAGTTCAGGTATCGTAATATAATACTATCAGGAGTAAGATAATATAGGCTATCCTATATTATCCTATATTATCCTATATTATCTTACTCCTGATACTATGTTCTCGCCTTTACTGCTCTGCCACTCGGCAGAAGCGCTGTATACAATGAGAGCAACACGCCCGGATGCGCGTTCATTGAATTCATCAGACACTTGGAGCGTTTCAATAAAATATAATGCTAGATAAATACGAAATATATTTACTACCAAAGTCTTAATGTTTCTATACTCTCTTTCACCTATTATTGCCGACAATTTCCTGCAAATGCCGTCCAAATGCTCATCTGCAACAAACGCTGGCTGCCGCCATAGCTGCCGCTGCACACTATAAATACTGCGTATTTATTTAGCACTATATTTTATTGAAACGCTCCAAGTGCCTGTGATTGAATTCATCAGGTGTCGTGCGTACAATCACAAGCTTCCGCGCTGAACGTTTTACCTAAACATGGCCAACACTGCTGTGAGCAAGTTTGCAATTCATAAGCAAATACGTGTTATTGGCTGTGCGAAGAGACAACGGCCCGCCGTGTGTAATTGCGCTTATGACACAGTTCCGTGGAATGCGGGCTGTTATTTCACGTGCCAGATCTAATAGCATGTCGACCTATGCATACACGACGTAGACCTAGATCTACGCACGAGTGATGCTGGCGTAATTATATGCGCATCCTAATAAGCGGCCCTTATTTTACTTTCTCGTTTTCGCAATTTCGCGTCAGCGTAATTGAACGCGTAGAGTGCGTGTGTACGTGCGTGTATGCGTGTTTGTTTGTGTGTGTATGTGTGTGTGTGTGTGTGTGTGTGTGTGTGTGTGTGTGTGTGTGTCGTTTTTTAAATTAATTAATTAATTAAATAAATTAATTGGAATCTGGATCACACACCAAAATGTAATCAATTCTAAGTTACCCATTTTGACCTTATCCTGAAAATTTTTTAATTAATTTTATAATTGATCCGATCACACCCAAAATGTAATCAATTCTAAGTACCCCATTTCTGACTCTATCCTAAAAATTTAATTACATTAATTTTTAATTAATTAATTAATGTAATTGGATCCGGACAGCCACCAAAATCTTATCAATTCTAAGTTAGGCAATTTCTTGACCTATTCCTGAAAATTTTATGGCAATTCGGTCGGCATAACTTTTTCGAGTAGGCTGTACACAAACCACAAACCAACAAACAGTCAAAGATACGCCGGTGAAAAAATAACCTCCTGCCATACCGCTTGCGGAGGTAATGAAACTATTTGTGTGGCTATACTGACATTATATTTAACGTGATTGTGGCCGAGAACTTTTGTTATCAGAACCCGTACAAGAACGTTATATTCAATTAGAAAATAACGTAATAAGTAACGTAAATATGACGCTATAATAACTTTAATTTCTGTAAGGTTTTTAACGTTATCAGAGCACTTCAAGAAACGTTATATTTAAAGTAGCAATAATGTAACAGTAACGCAGTGGTACGCGTACGGTAGCCGTATCTTAATGTCTCCAGGCTACGGGTACGGTATCCATTTGCGCATGCGTCGCTCTTCCCACAAATAATGCCGTTGGAAATTAATTCACCAGATTAATTAATCTCGCAGCCTAATAATTAATTAATCTAATTAATTTAACTAGCCTTACACTAGTTGTTTGGGATTGATTGTCAGTTCAGATGCAAAATATGAAAGCAAAAAGGTATACATAGATAGAAGAATTAATATTATCTGAGCAGCTGCGTATAATATATAACACTAGCCGAGTCGGTTTATAGTCGAGTGTTCAGGCGAGCAAGCTAAGCATTCCATGATTTGCTTAAACTGATCAGTGATTGGTCGTGGAGAGCTCTTGGATGTGTCACTGATGAATAAGCAATCGGCCGATCTCTGGGGGCGATCAACGAGATCGAATGATTGGGCTTAAAATAAGGCGCTCAGGGGTGGTGCAGAAGTATAGCTGTAAATGATCGTCGATGCTTATTAAGCAATCGGGACTGATCGGGTAGCGAAATCGATGATCCGGTCGGTACCGAGTTGCTGCAATCGATGATCGGGTCCCGATTGCTATTAAGCAATCGAAGATTCCGG